TGTGTCCAGTTCTTGGCTCCACAGTACAAGAGGGATGTGGAGCTGCTGGAGAGAGTCCAGCGCAGGGCCACAGGGATGATCAGGGGCCTGGAACATCTGCCCTATGAGGAGAGGCTGAGGGAGCTGGGCCTGTTCAGCCTGGAGAAGAGAAGGCTGAGAGGGGATCTAATCAGTGTCTATAAGTACCTCAAGGGAGGCAGTGAGGAGGATGGTGCTGGCCTCTTTTCAGTGGTGGCCAGCGACAAAACTAGAGAAAACGGCCGGAAACTGAAGCAGCAAAAGTTCCACAGGAACTTAAGGAAAAATTTGTTAACAGTGAGGGTGACAGAGCACTGGAACAGGTTGCCAAGACGCAACTCGCTTGGACACAATCCTGTGCCACATGCTCTAGGTGACCCTGCGTGTGCAGGGGGTTGGACTGGATTATCTCTAGAGGTCCCTTCCGACCTTAATAATTCTATGATTCTAGTGAAGAGGCTGGGTGAGGCTGCCATTGGTGAACCATTTTTACTCTGTAGATTATATGCAACACACTAGTTATCATACTGGACAGAAGAACCTCACCCATGTATTACAAATTCCATAAAACATTTAAAAGGTCCTTGTATTTTCTGCCCCAATACTGTGAGTTGCTACACCGCTCTACACTATAGCCCTGTTTTTGTAGTCAATATTAGATGTGTGGAGCGAAAGGGAAGCATATGTTATATTCTGTATGATTTTAAGAGTTTTGTCATTAAAAGGGGGATTTTTGGGTCTTTAAGGGACCAAAGTCTTCCATCATTTTCATGATCTAAAAGTCTGCAATACATGGAGGTACTTAAAATAAGAATTTCCTTCAGGGTTTCACCTACAAATTTCTACAAAGAAATAAATTGTGAACTCTTCCTAATGCAAGTATGAGGATTTTAATTTCTTTATATTTTGAGAGTTTTCATGGAGTGAGCATTTTGTTTCCTGCTCTTTTCCTGAGCCCTCTTAGACTAACGATAAATCTCACGATCTACACTCTGCAGAGAGATAAGACATATACATGACAATGCTTAATACAGGGTATAGTTTAATATGCTCTGCTATAGGTGATGACTGAAAATATTTCACTGTGTGATGAGATTAATTTGTATTGTTTCCACAACACAAACAATCAAAAAAAATCACTAAATTCTTTCCCTTTTTTTTCTACTTAGACAAAGCCACGGCTCCAGCGGGGAGGAAGCTCTGCCTCTCTCCACAACAGTCTAATGAGGAACAGCATCTTTCAGCTCATGATTCACACCCTTGACCCACTTGCTGAAGGTATTTTTTTTTTCTGTTGGAAAAAAGAAAAAAAACTGTTTTCTTTTTACTTCTCCCCATATTTGTCATGTATCTACTTTCACCAATCTTTTCTAGATGTTTGAATTTCCTGAGAGAGTTTTGCACTGTCATGGGAGACTTTCAACTTAAGGAATGTGTTCGTTGTGGTACTACCTAAAACTGATTACCTGGTTTATATGTGTCTTAATTACCATTTCTCTCTGCTTCTGGCTTCATCACAAATGTAAAAAATACAGAAATTCAATACTTTTGTACTTTTGTAATTGCACAGAGTTCTTGTTTTCTTCCCTAGTTTTGATTTTAGCGCATTAGGAAAAAAAGACAAACCAGTAGGTCATTTGTCCTATGGGATACAAAGAACAATGAAAACTCTGCTGGTTTGACTTTGAGTAGATAAACACTGAGCTTATAGATAATGCAGCAAAAGTTGCTCTGTATTATCTGCATGCAAACAGTTTGCTTGCTTTATCCAATGTAGTATAATTTGTATTGTTTGCACTCAAAGACATAATCAGGAGAAGGATATAATTTCTTTGGTCTGCTGTGGGGTAATTTGAATATCTGCTTATGATAGACTTCCAAAAAAATAGTGCCAAGTCTGTGTTTGGTGAATGTGTGTCTATAGACCTTTATTGTTGTAGTAATAGTTGTACTTGGAAATTATGTGTTCGGAAATTCTACTTGTGAAAGAAATATGAGCAACTAAAGTGACCAAATCACTGATAACAGCAAAAACTTCCAACCATCTAAGGTTATAAAGTATATATAGCACTTTTTGCATTTAATTTGCTTCATGTTCCTCATTGCAATATTGCATGCTACTTTTTGAATTCTTCTGTATCTCCTGGAGAAAGCGCATTTACTTTATCATTTTCATCTCAAAAAGCTGAAGCTTACAGCTGTTGTGTAAACACAAGGACAATTTTAGCGCCTGATTGTGATCTGGTATACCTACTGTTGTGAAAAGAATGCTGAGTTCTGACTATCTGGCTTCCTATCCCAGCTTGTAAATTGTAGTTTTTCATAGCAATCCCTTGCTCTCCACTCTTCCTTTAAAGCAAAGCTTCTGGGCTGCAGATGCACCGGTGATGTCTCAAATTGCACTAAATGCTAATGCAAACAGAAATTCCCACCTGAAGAGGTAAATGGGTTTCATCAATTCACATTTAAAGACATGAGAACAGAAGCAGGCTGGGAAGAACCTATTACCGTTACTAAGTAGATGATAAATGAAAGACCAAATAAAAGCTATAGCTTTGTGTGGAGTTCAGTTTAGACTTTAAAATGGCTCAGAAATAAGATGAGCTTTCAGGTATTATGTCTTTCTCTATTGTTTCACTTGATTCTCACACTTGGCTTCTTCAGTGTCTAAACTTTTTCCCACTGGTCTTCCCTCATTGGAAGCCTGCACCATACAGTGTGATCCAGAGGATCTCATCTTTTGAGGCCCACAGGAAAAAAAAATTCAAATCTGGATCCCAACACTTTCAAATATTCAGTATTATAAGATAATAGTATTCTTCATTATGTCAGTATAACCCTGGCCTTCAGCATGGTTCAACAGAGATGGCTGCAATGGATAAATATTACATAAATGACTCCAAAATTTTTCTCTAGCATTTCATTGCTAAGAATTAAAAGACAGGATTCATCAGAAGCTTCTGAGATATGCAGTCCTTTGTTCTTTAGAACAATCATCACTGTTCTATGGGAGAACATAATTCCTTGGGAAATAGATTTGTGAAGGGTCTCCTGTAATAATAGGCAAATGTGCAAATGGTGTTTAGTACACATGTCTCTCTCCATTTCACTTGTTCTTTCCCAACAAGACATAGACACAGTAAAGAAATAAGCAGATGATTCTTGTTTGTTTCCTGTTTTCTATAAACCAGAGAGACAAGTCTGTTACACTTGTGTAATAAAAGACCATGGACTTAATCTTGGTGCACTACCTCATGGGTAAAAGAACATTTATTGAAACTCATTTAGAGTGGGTGTGGATCAGACTCAAAGAAAGAGAAAAAAAGAAAAGGGGTGGGGAGCATTTTTCTGGAACAATCCACCAAAGTGCATCCCAGACAGACGCCACAAGCCCTGCACTTGGCATGGCTGAAAAAAACAGATGTTTAACTTCTGGAAAAGCACCCGCTGCTCATGGGAGCTCTGAGTCTGGGAGCTCTGTCTGGCTCTTTGCATCTTCCAGATCAACTGTTGCCATCAGATGAAAATTTCCAATTGTTGCCCTGCTGCTGGAATATCCAGCTTTTCCTTCTATTTAGGTCAATGATAAAGCTCACTATTGCATTCTGTTAAGTGGTTGCAAGGTAAATAGAGGCAGAAAAGGATAAACAGCTTTGTTATGTGGATTTATGAGGGCTTTGGAAAGCTCACAGAGTCCCATCTAAGTCCTCTTAGTGGTAGCACAAGCATTTTAGAATATTTAAGCAGGCTATATGGCTATTAAAGGTTAGTTTGACCCACAAGGTCTTATTTTTACATTAACATGTAATATATTCATAGTAGACCAGCTCATGTTATTTACTCCTGAATAATTCATTTGTCAAGTCACAACCAACCTCTGCTTTAACTGAGAGGTTTTTAAAAATGCACTTAGAAGAGTATGAAATGAATGAGAAATGACTTTAAGAGGTTTCTGTTTTCCAAAAAATGCAAAGAAAATGAGTCATCTTCATGTATGATTCCACATTTGTGAACCAGTCCTTCCTTTCCCCCTTCACCATGAATTTGTTTTTTCCTCTGGCTTGTGCCTGTGTTTTGTGAAAACCAGATTGTGAGCTCTTTCAGAGCAGTGGACTTGCAAAGTGCCAACAGATGTATAATGTCTGATATTTTCAGTGGGAGTCAGGGAATGTGTGGCTCAGGATTCCGAAAGATGTGCAGGAATGATATAGGTTTAGTTGAGCAGGACATTTGCTCTTTAAAATCTCAGTTTCTAGGATAAGGGTTCAGCCACTCTGGCTGGTGAACAATATATGATATTCATTAGCTGGAAGTGAAATTTGCAATTCTACTGAAAGCTAGTCATTCATTAAAAATATAAATATCCAAATGACATTCTTTTTTGTTGTTTGCTTTTATCAAATTGAAGAAATAGATCATTTTCTGGGGATTAAGATTGCTTGTGCATCAGACTATCATCTACTCCCATCCAGTCATTAATCTCCAGGAAATCCTGTGCCAAATTTGCTCCTGCTTAAGTGCCGGTCTTGCAATCCCTCATTCACCAAGCAGTCAGATAGACTCTTCATATCGGCATTACCCATTTGAAGAAGAGTTGACTCATCAGACTTGGTGCATTGTCCAGGCCTCAATCCAAAATGCAAGGAATTTTAACATGACATGTTAAGTACTAAGTATTTCTGACATTTTTTCATCCATTCTGCCATGTATAGAAAACTTATCCTTTCTCTACAAGCTGTAGCTCATACAGCCTATCCACCACAAAGAAGCCTAGGGGAGGGTTGGGCTTTTTCTGCCTTCAGGTGCTCTCTGGCTTTTACTCTTTCTGCTGTGAAAAGTACTTCTTCTGGCACTGCAGAGAGAGATTTTCCACTCTGGCAAATCACTCTCCTGAAAGGGGAATGTACCAGTGTCAACATGGCCGTCCATAGCATTAGGCTATTTTGCCATTCTTGCAGTTTAACAGCAGACAGGAAGGATGAAATCCTGTCCACAGCATTTCCATATCCATTTTCTTATCATGCTACCCCTTTTCAATCTGCTGATGTGGACCTGCAGGCCAACTAAGCATCTTCTTCAGCAAGCGAAAGATTTAGCTAGATGTTAACTCTCCTGCCCCTGTGTGACAAGGATATAACTCATATGCAGATGTCACTCTCTGCATATAAGTATGATATAAATCTCTGCCCTGGCTCAGTCCCCAGTGATCTATACTGATCTTTGTAAGTTTTGTGCCTTTCCTTTCTCTAGATCTCTAGATCTATTCCCAAGCTGTAAAATTAGAGGTTAGTTTGCTGCAGTGCTTCTGCAAAAAAGTTGTTTATCATTATTGCTTCTTTTCTTAAACATAAATATGTTGCATGTTATCTGTGAGAGAAGCAACCTTCTGTTACATAAAGCTCAGGTGACGATTCTGTTAATTCCTTCACTAAATGCTTAGAAGTGCACTACAGTCTATGACTGCTCTGAGAGGAAAAAAAACCTTGAAACCTACATTCGTGATTTATCAAGAAAATTACAAATGCTGTAACTCACAAAGTCTTTTTGCTTAATTTGTGGCTGCTTGTTGCATTCTTTTCTAAGGTGGCATGAAAAACCCTAGCACTGATGGCCAGGGTTTGCGTATCTTCCCCTTGGGTTAAAGGAACTCAACATGCTCCCAGTTTTTGTTCTCAGTCCATGAAACCATTAGGTTTTTTTCTTCTTGGCCTCAGTTAAGTTGCAGCATCATACCTGGAATTGCTCTCTTCAGGAAGCTTCTCTGGGTGAAGTTGTTTATTTGTTGTAAATATCCTAAGAGCAGCAAGACTGGGCAGCGCTGCTTCCAGAGAGACCTTGGGCAGCCTTCAACTCCTGCCTTGCTCAGGAAGGAAATTTCTATTCCCCATAGGTCAGTATAATCAAAGAGCAATAACAATCTAAATTGTAATTAGGAAATCCCATTGCTGACCTCTTCCAGCTTGGGATCGAACCAGTGAATTAATTTATTACGCTTATTATCAGTTTGCTGCCTAACGTCATGGCATAGGTCTCTCTGATCGCTCACCAGAGAGCTTTCCAACCCAGATCAGAGACTATGGTAGGTGAAACACTGGAGGGAGAAGTAATGCAAATTGCAGTGGTGGGATCTGCTGGAGAACTTTGTGGTGCAATGCGATGCGATGAGTCTTGCAGGTTGGTCATCTTCAGATCCCGCAGTGCTGCAGTGTGCAGGGGGAGCCTGTCACCAAGGGTGGCTCCTCTGATCTAACTGAGACCTGCTCCCACAGCAGCTGTTT